GCTAAATGTGGAGCTGAGACCTCGGCCGCTATTGGTGTCCCTCCCTGGAGGTTTGGTCACTGTCACTTTGCTGCCCAGACTCAGATTGGAGCCTCGTCAAGCCCCTCATCTTCCTCAAGATACAGTAAACACTTTGTACCTTCAGGCTGTTTGTCTACCCACCAAGGTCCTTCCCATGCCACCTGTCTTTCTCCACAAACACAGAGCATCCCGCCCCTCCTCAAGTCCAGGCTCAGCTTGCTTTCTCTGGAAACCTTCCAGCCGGTGCCTGCTCAGGAAGCTGCCTGCCTAGTCTGTGGCACCTGGAACACACCGCCTTGAGCTCTGGCAGACACTCAGCAAATGGTCCTATACACACCATCTTCCTAAGCGGGCTTCAGGCAATACAGCCAAGCAAATGAAGGAATGGGTGGTCTGCCGAGCCCCTCCTTAGCCAAGAACACCTCTGTGGTTCCGCTTAAGCCTTCCCAGTCCTGACTTGTCTGTGATTATTGGCTGGGAGCTTCAACTTTGCTGTCTCCCAGGTGTGTAGTGACATTCCAGGGATGCTGTCTGTAGGAAAGTCTTCCTGAGTGCCAAACTGCTATACATTTTGTGCAGGGTCTTTATTGTGCTGTCAGCATGGGTCCCTGGATCCCACAGGGTGTGTTTGCATCCTGTCCCCCTTCCCGATGGAGAGAGATGGAAGCTGAGGACTCTCTCTGCCCCCTGTGACTTTGGCAGGTAGGACCCAGAGCTCACCTCACCACCTGGCATTTTCCCAGGCCTCAGTTACGCTCTGACTTACAGGGAGGTTTGGGTAAATTTATTCCTCCATTTCTGAGTTTCATTTCTCTGGTTTGTCCATGGAAGCATTGGGTTAAAGCTCAAATGTTCATTTTTTCCCCCACATGGCTAATAATCTATATTCAAAGCCTCATAACGAACAAAACCCAACCAATCAAACAAACAAAAACAACAGCACATATGCAAAACAGAATTCTGCCTAAAGCAGAAATGGCTCTCCCAAGACCTTAGAAACCCTCATCCTCCTCCCTCACCTGGGGCTCTTCTGCCAAGTTCTTAGGTGTCTTAGATCCCCACATGAGAAGGCGTGGCCTTCCTTCCCTTCCACCCTGGTAGAAGCTCAGCCGGAGGTGGGAGAGACTGAGGTCAGAGATCAGAGGCTTTCCCTCATCCTTCCAGAGACGACTCTATATGAGGGTCATTTGTGCTTATGTCTGTGACTGTGAACTTTTTCTGGAGGTCCTCACCTTCTTATCCCAGCCTGCCTTCTGATACACAGAAGGGGTTCTTAACTGTCCCTGAGTAGAACGAGGTGAATGCATGAGGACAATGTGGTTAAAAAGAAATGACCTCAGCCCCTTTCTCTGGCGACTGGAAAGGGGGAAGAGAGGGAGGAAGAGGCCTATATTTCTGGTCTTCAAAGGTAGAGCAGTGTGGGACTGGAAAAGGAGGGAGCTTCCAGGAAGTGATCCGTGAGATGGACTGAACTGGAGTGGCACACTGCCCTCCAATCTCTTTGTCCCGACTTCTGGTTCTTATCCAGGTCTGTGTGCATGCAGTGCCCAGAATAATGCTGGAAACCACGAGAAAGGAACCAGAGTAATCTGCCTGCTGGAATAAAACTGTATATTTCTCCTTTCTTTTTCTATTTTCTGTATGGTGTAGAGGACTCCCTGCATTCTAAGCCAACAGCCTACGACTGAACTACACCCCCAGTCTTAGAAGTTGTTTTTGTTGTTGTTTTGAGACAGGGTCTCAATATGTAACCCAGGCTGGCCAGGAACTCACTGTATAGATCAGACTGATCTTGAACTCCTGATCCTCCTGCCTAAGCTGTCTTAGAGCTGAGAAAACAGACATGTACCATCATTCCTAGCTTCAGAGGAGAATCCTAAGACCTCTTCCATTCCCCAGGCAATTCCGGAAGTCTACCCAAACCTTGACACCTATGTTTTCTCTCCTTGTTGGCATCCCCAAGGTTGGGCAGGCTTCTGGGGTGTTTTGAGGCAATGTGGAGGACTCCAGAAAGGAGAAAGGTCAGGGTTGTTCCAGTAGCATCTTCATCTCTGCCAGCAGAGAAACCAGGGGCGTGAGGCTTAAAAGGGAAAGACAGGACTGAAAGGAAATTGGGTAAAATCAGGGCCCTGGGACCTTTTCACTTATTGTGACATCATCTGGCCCCAGAGTCACATGCTTAGTAAAAAAATTCACTTAGGTACCTTTAAGGGCACTCAAGCCTGGTACCTGTGGGATTTGGTCCCAACATAGCTCCACTATCAGCACAGGGCAGATTTCAGTATTTTGAACTTTGGACTCTCCTTCCCTCCCCTTCTCCCCATTGGCCTGGGATTGCTGTTTCTTTTTTTTTTAAAGATTATATTGCATTTTATTTATTTAGTGCCTGTGTGTGTGTGTGTGTGTGTGTGTGTGTGTGTGTGTGTGTGTGTGTGTGGAGTGCCACAGTGCACAGATGTGGAGATCAGAAGACAACCTTTGGGGGACTGTTCTCCCCTTCCACACTGTGGGTCCTGGAGATTGAACTCAGGTTGTCTGACTTGGCAGTAAGCGCATTTACCCACTGAGCCATCTTGTTGGCCTTCTGCTTGCCTTTTTAATACACAGTCTGTGCCCAACTCTCCTTAAGCCAGCGTACGCAGTTCTCATAGCCTTCTAGGAGGTGCTGTTCCTGGCCAAGCCATCATACAGATAAAGGAATCAGGGCTCTGATGGAGGCAGGGAAATCGTGGAGGGTCATGTGGCTGTGGGAGGATGGTCATTTAGTCAGGGATCTGGGGCATGTGTGAAAAACAACATCACAGTTTTGGCACAGTGTCCGTTCCAGCCACTTGGCTCCTCCTCTGCCTCTGTCCTTCCACAGTGTCCTCCTCTCCCTCAAGCCTCTGGCTGCCCCAGGCTAGGTTTGCCACATGGCTGACAAGAGGCAGATCAAAATTCAAGATAGTATCACAGCTATAATTCAGCTGTAGAACATGTGGCTAGATTGCATGAGGTCCTGAGTTCTGTTCCTCAGCACCAAACAAACAGACAAGCAACCAAAACAAGACAAAACAAAATGAAACCAACCAAGCAAACAAATACTCTCTTTGCCTTGCATGGTCCTGGGTTGTATCTGTAATTCCAGCATTGGGAAAAAAGAGCTAAAATGACTGAGTTCAAGGCCATCCTGGGCTACATAGCAAGTCCTCGTCTTACAAAATTAAAATCAGTTAGGAGAAAGATTTTGTGCCTCAGCCTGTGGTGTGGGCAGTGGTAGAATCCCAGCTGCCCTTTGGCGTGGGGAGGAGCGGAAGGTAGGCAAGGCCTGTCAGCTGGCCTTCATGGAAGGATGGCTCCTTTGTGATCAGATTCAGATTTCCTGTTCTCTGAGGGTGGAAGTGGAGGGCGCTGTCTGTCTCCCCCGTGTTGGGCTTCCCCCTCTGAAGAAAACTGAATTGCCCTCTCCCTTCCTCCCAGCCACTGGGGTTCCAGAAGCTGTTCCCTACTGTGCTAAGCAGTGGCTCTCCCTCCTGTAGGCAGAGCCCTTCTCCTCACCCTGAGACCCAGCATGCGAGCAGCAGGGCTCTGGGGTTCCCCCAGCCTGACTAATCCAGCTACTGTGCAGTGCAGGCCCTTCTCCAACACACAAACAGGAGTTCTCAGGGTGGGATCTCTAGAAGGCACTGAGGGGGCAGGCTTGGGGCTGGGAATGAGCCAGTGCCTACTGACTGGAAGCAAGAGATGAGGTGAGGGCTAGGGGCACTGTGGAGAGGGCACTGTGCAAGCAGCTTGGTCTTCTGAGGAGTCAATGCTGTAGTTTTCGGCAAATTCCTTTCATTTCCCAGCCTGCTTCCTCCTCAGGAACACAAGGGCCAGGACTAGATACTGTAGGTCTTAGCTGCTGGGGTAAGAGGGAGGAGGAGGAAGAGGAAAAAAAGGAGCACCGCCTTGTGATATGGACAGTGGTGATATTGAGAACCCGGTCACTCCTGTGAGCCTCAGGGTCCTCATCTGCAAAATGGGAATTGCCAAGAGCCTGAGAAGCGGTCTGAAAGAAAGACGAGAAAGAGATGTAACGACTCAGGGTACCGCCTGCAAAGTAACGTGTGTGCTGGAAGCCTGTGCCTTCCTGACGGTGCTGGACCGGTTTCCTGAAGAGAGTAGGTTTGGGGATTAGGGGAGGGGCCAAGCTGCCAACTGTTGGTGGTTGTGGGAGATCAGAGAGGGGCCTTCTGGAGTCCCGCAGGTGACCAGGACTCGTTGTCACCCACAGCGCTGCCGCATAGAGAAGGGAGGGAGAGAACACGAGAGGCCGCACCTCTGTACTGTCCCGAGGCTGAATTCATACATCACACCATTAGAGAAGCTCACGTTTTCTCAGCTTTTCTCACACAGAATCACTTCCTTTGTTTAGAGGAGGGGGTGGGGGAGGAGACGGAGGGCGACGAGGGAGGGGCCCGCTGCGGGTGCCGCCGCCGCCCCGGCCCCCTCCCCCTCCCGGTGTGCGGAGCCCGATTGTCACTCAGCTCCCGCTCCGGGGGCGACAAAGTCGCTGGCGCCAGAGTGGAGTCTAGGTTGGCTACCATCCCCCTGGACTTGACAGGCTAGCCTGGGTTCTCTTGGCATCTTCTGAAGGAGCAACTGCCCAAGGCGTTGAGATTTGGAGACACTTGGCTAGACAGTTCAGGTGGCCAGGAGCTCTGACAGCTTTGGTGTGACCTTGGGTAAGTCTGTGTTTCAATTCGTGCACCATGAATGTGCGAGAGCCGGGTGGATGAAATGACTGGAATGCCCCCCTTGGGGCAGTCGATGGGCAAGGATTCTGAGCTGGAGCGGGACCGGGCTACTGTTAAGAGTCGGGCACCAGTGGCGCCCCAGGTGGGTGGGCACAGGGCAGGCATGCGCGCACGCGGGGAATAGGAGCCTGTGGACCAGCCAGGTTCTGGGCTTAGTCCCTCAGATTCACGCCTGCCATCCAGTCCCAGGTACGAAACAAGGGCACTACCTCTTTAAAAGCGTCCGGGGCCGAGCCTCTGCCGCACCATGTGATTGCTTGAAAGGCCGGGCTGGGAGCGCAGCGGCGGGAGCCTGGAGAACGATGAGCCGGTGCGCGCACGGAGCCCAGAGCCCAGCCCTGCCCGGCGCGGCTCCGGAAAGCCGCCCCGGGAACTTAGGGCAACGCCTTTGAGACCCCCTACTGATTGACAGGCAGGATGGTGAGCTCCCGGCCTCCGGGTCCCTGGACACCTGTGGGCATTGTGGATGCATAGGGGATCATTGTGGAGTGAGTGTACTGGGAGCCACCTCACACCTGATACAAAAGCCAGTGGTGGAGTGAGTGTAGCTATTTTAAGTTGCTGAATGGAACCTCTGAGGACAAGGGGAGGGGACAGAGGTTAAGCAGATAGTGAGGCTGAGTGCCTGGCCAGCCTGAGCAGGCGCTGCATCTGCTAACTGGGGCACATCTTCGCAGGGCTGCCTATGTCCCCTCCTTCCCAGGCTGGCATCCCCACCGCAGGCTTCCTGACCACAGGTGCTGGCCTCGTGCCCCAGGGCGCTTGTCTGCTGATGTGCCCAGCTCCTGCCCACCATGTCGCCCTACATCTCGGCCTTCCAGGCTGCCTACATTGGCATCGAGGTGCTCATTGCCTTGGTCTCTGTGCCTGGAAACGTGCTGGTGATTTGGGCTGTGAAGGTAAACCAGGCACTTCGCGATGCCACCTTCTATTTCATCGTATCCCTGGCGGTAGCTGATGTGGCTGTTGGCGCCCTGGTCATCCCACTGGCCATCCTTATCAACATTGGGCCACAGACCTACTTCCACACCTGCCTCATGGTGGCCTGCCCTGTCCTCATCCTCACCCAGAGCTCCATCCTGGCTCTGCTGGCTATCGCTGTGGATCGTTACCTCCGAGTCAAGATCCCTCTCCGGTGAGTTCATAGCAGCCTAAGGTACCCTGTGAAACCCTATGTTGGGTGGCCTGGGGATGAGCTGGAGAAGATAAAAGTGTGCAAGCCCCGCAGTCAGCCAGGTATTTATTCTCTGGCTGTTGGATCCCAGCCCACACTTTGCCTTCCTGGGCTCTGTGTAGGGATGCTGTTCTGAGCTGCAGTTAGAGAAGCAGGAGGGGGCTGGGTGGCCAGAGAATTGCCATCCTGACAGTACCCATGACCTCAGTGCTGTAGCCTCTGCAGTCAGGGAGCCTGAGGCAGCAGGTGGGGCCTGGAATAGGGTTAGAGCATTTGGAGGGGTCTTTAATAGAGGGGACAGTCAGAGCCGGGAATGATCTGGATTCCGTAAGTCCTGGGGAGGAGGAGAGCAGAGCTCCAGGGGAAGGTTGAGGACATGCTAAGGGTGCCACACCAGGGCCAACAGTGCTGCTGCGGCTTGGATCAGAGCAGGCCGGCTTCCGGAAGACACTCTTTAGCTCACTTGTTCTGCAACTGTCTCTGTACCAGCCAGCCCCACCCTCCAGGCTGCCCTGCTAGTTGCCTCTGGCCAGCTCCGGGCATCTCTTTTGCAGGCAGGGAGAATGCCCAGTGGCTTCCTTTCCTGTTCTGGTTGTTGCCTGCAGGCCACACCAGAGGTGATTTTTCTAGGCAGCTCAGGGCAGGAGGCTTAATGGTGGCAGTCTTCGTCATGAGGGTGGGGTGGGGGCGGAGGTGGTGTCCATCTACCTTGAGGCTCTCTGCCCAGGCCTACCAGGCCATAATCTTGGCACCAGGCAGTGCCTGGGTCACCAAGTGCCAGCAAGTACCTGGGCACACCGCCAGCAACTGGCTGTGCTGGGACACTCTTCTGAGTGTGCTTCCCCCTCTTTGAATTCTTGTCACCAGTCTGTTCTCTAATGGTGAACCTTAGCCATCTCCAGCACCTGCCGTCCTGTGCAGCTTCCTAGATCCCATATCTGGGGCATGGGGCCTCTGGTCTCACTTGGCAGTTCGCCCGAGCCGGCCTAGGTACCCAGAGTTCTCGTCTTTGGTCACATTCATGCACGTTTAACTTTTCCCAGCCTCTTTTCACATCACATGTGTCCAGTGAGGGAGGTGGAGCCGGAACTGGAAGAGGGGAAGCGGGCTCAGAGGATCTCCCCAGCCAGGTGTGGAGAGCTCCATCCAACCACGTCCCCCTTCCGATTCCTGCGCTTAGAGCCTTGTTGTCAGCCTCTCACCCCCACCTCCAACCTCCCTCCCTCACAGCCAGGGAAGTTTCCCAGGGAAGGTGGGGTGCAGGCTGCTGCTTCTCAGGGAAGAAGGAAACAGTCCAGAAGCCACATAGGCTCAGCTTCCGAGGGCCTTTCACGCTGCTTTTAAACCCGGGTTGTTGCTGGCCTGCACCAGTCAAGCTAGTCTCAGTGCATTAGATGGGCTGGGCATCAGAGCCCTGCCATTACAACAGCGTGGCCACATTAGGAATGCACAGAGAGGGCCAGACAGAGAGAGGCTGCTCTAGAAAGTGGGCCTGCTGAGTGGGTGCCGATGCCTTGGTCCTGTCCTCATGCCACAAAGGTCATGGGCTTCAGAATGTGTCCTCCTTACCCTGTGGGCCTGGGGGATAGAAGTGGCCATGCTGGTAGGACTTGCAATTCCCCCAAGAGGCAGCTGCTGTTGCTTTGAAGATGGGGTGGTGGGAGAACAGTCCTCTGAGAGCTGAGAGTGGGCATGAGTGGAATGTAATACAGTCCTGGGCTTGGATGCCTTTACAAATGCCTAGCTGTGCCACCTTGGGAGAGCCACCTATTTAACCTCTTGAAACTTTAATTTCTTCATCTATAAAGGGGGACAGAAATAATAGTGTGGCTGCCTGGGGTTCCTGGAAGAATATATAGCAATTAGCATTATGCCTGACGTATTGTATGCAGGCTGTAAGTGAGAAGTTTAGCTTCATTATTAATATATGGCTTGAACTGGGGCTGGACAGGCAAGCTCTGTTTCCCCAACTCAAATATGTGTGCTCTGAAATGGACACATGCACAAAACCTTCCAAGAAGGTGTCAGAGAACTGTTAAGTTATATATACATGTTTTCCCTGCCCAGTGGACTGCCAGTGCCTCAAAGGCAATAGCCTGGGCAGGGATCACATCCTGTCTGTTTCTGTGATTGCCTAGAATGTCTAGCGACAATGTGTAGTCCTTGGCACTCTGTAAATGGTGATTAAAATGGCTGGATTTCCAGATCACCTGGGTGAGTCTCAAGCAGGCTTTTTAGGAGCCTAGCCTCTGTCTTTCTTGATGTGGCTACTGTCCCCCATTCTGCTTCAGGGCTCTGCCCACAGCTGTCCCCACTTGCTCAGCATCGTTCCTGGGAGTGCTCTGCCCTGCGAAGAGGAACCTTCTCTTAAGTTAAGGGCTAGCTTCTAAACAAAGCTCCTGGCCAAGATGTTGATTCCTCTGGGTCCAGGCCTGTCATTGCCCAGGTACCCTGCAGGAGGTACCGATGCTCTGACTCCTTCTGGGCAGCTGGAGTCAGTGGAATGCCAGGCTTTTGAACCCACAGGCACCTGGCTCCCTGTCCTGATATGCTAGACAAAGGTTGATGTGGCCCGGGGCCCCGAGAATGATGTCACTAAGTGTTGTGAAGGTGTGTCTAGATATCTGAATATAGGAGTCAGTCATAGAGCAAGGATTTGGTTGGTCAGTAAACCACGGGTTTTATTTCTTCCCACATAGCAGAAAGTTGAGAGAGAAAAGAGATTTATCTCATATAATGTGACCCATTTATGTTTTTTTTGAAGTTGAAATAAGTTGATTGTCAATAATTAGTTGTCTTTTACATGCCACATGCCATCCACCCATGATTCTGATTGAGAAGCTAGTCCCCTTACTCCTAGTTCCTGGGACTCTTTAATATTCATCCTCCCACCTCCTCACCCAGGGCTGTCTTGGTATGCTGTAATAAATTGGTCTGCTCTAGGGTCCTCCCTGTGAGAAGAGAAGATTGTCCTCAGCTAGATGGGTTGCAGTGAAGTGGACAGTGGCAGGGGCTTGGGCGTTAGACCCGAGTTGGAGCCTTGCTGTGTTACCAGATAACTGTGCAGCCTTGGGAGCCATTCAATCCTTCCAAACTTTTCTCTCTGCCATAAACACGGCTGGATCCAAGGTCACTGAGGTTCCCTTTGGCTCTAACTCCGTGGCTCTTCCTCCTCCTGGTTCCTGCCAATGCTGTCTTGGGATCCTGGGCAGGTTTTGTGTTGGGTTTTTCCACTCCTAGTGATTGATCATGTGGTAGCTACATTTTGCTTTGTGTGTATTTTGTCTCACTGACCGTGTGCAGCCTCTCAGCAGTGGAGGTTACTGCCAGCTCCATACTATAGTTCTTCAGATAAACTTGGGTCAGACGCTTGACAGGTTCAATAATTCTCCAAGCCGCTCACTGGTCAGGAGCAGAACCAGACACTTTTAACCTGTAAGCATGAACCCAAGGGCCGGTCTTGTAGGACACAGCCCCGGTTTCCCCAAGGCTGTTACCAGGTCCTTTTTACCCTCTTACTTTTGCCAGTGTTTGTAAACTCTGCTTGGCTCCCACTCGGCATCTCTCCTTCATGATAGTGGGCAGTTGAGTCCCTTGGAAGCCCTACTGCTGTCCGTGCTGGAGGTTTGCCTGGGAGGCTAGGAATGTTGGGTTGAGCTTGGGGAGGAAGAGAAATCTGCTGGATTAAGATGTGTTTGCTTTTGACCACTGACTCGGCAGCCCCTGATCTGCTCAGGGCTTTGTTCATGTATTTATTTGACAACTAAGATGTCTCATGCACTACCAACACCCCAGCAGCCATCTGTGACCTCTGCATCCTGGAACAGTTGCTTTGGGTCTCCATCTGTTTCCAGAAGAAGCAGGGTGTCTCCAGATGTGCCGTCTAAGGCATTAGTCATAGGCTAGAGGGCATCAGGCAAAAAAGCATCCAGAGGAAGCCGGGGAGAGGAAACCAAGGGCCAGGGAAGTGGGCTTGTTCTTGGTCACTGGTCTGGGAACTCCGTGCTCTTCCCGAATCAGACTCTTCTCAGTCTGGAAAAGAAAGTGCTGCTTCAGGAGTGGGTCAGAGGATGAGTGGTAGGCCACGGGGTGTGACGGAGACGGCTTTGTGCTTGAGTCTGGCAGCCTGCAGGGGCTCATGCTAGATGTGGCTGAACCGAGACGCATGGCTTTCCTTGAAGAGGTGTTAGGGTGTCTTTCAGGGGTAAAAGTGCCTCTTCTCCCACATTAGGATGGTGTGTGTGTGTGTGTGTGTGTGTGTGTGTGTGTGTGTGTGAACTTGTTCAGGTGTTGGCTTCCAGGAAGCAGGGGATGACTAAGGTGGCTTGTAGAGAAGCCCATCCACCCCGGGGCCCTGAGTGGAGCCTCAGGGACTGCGAGGAATGTAGAGAAGAACAAATTCACCAATACTTCTCCCACCTACGGAGGACGACTGTTAACATTTGGTGTTCCAGAAAATTTCTCCACACACATGCATATATATTTAGCTACATTATTTTTGCATATGGCAAGTATCTATCTATATATGGTTTTAAATCCTATTTTCTCACTTAACATTTCATTACAAACATTTCCACATGTCAACTGAAATTATTTTGTGAGGGCTTTTATGACAGCATAAGGTTGTATTATTATTCATCTTTTAGGTTTCAGCTAAAACAGCCTAAGCTCAGGGAATCCACCTCCCGCTCCTGCCATCCATGTTCACTTTGTCTGTTAGGTTCTCGGCCTGGATGTGTGCCTCGATCCATATTACTTCAGGCTCAGGGAGTCTTCTGTTTAAACTTCTCTCTGGGGTCTGGGTAAGCCCCGGAGCTCCCCCACACTCTGTTTACATACTAGGGATCTTCCGTGTCTGGCACAGAGTAGGTATGCTGTAACTTCTTTGGGATAAATTAACATTTGGGTAGCACATTTTATTTATCTGTTTTTAAGTAGGTGGTTACTTAGAGTACTACTTT